TGATCCCTAGCTTTGCCCCGGTTAACTTTGTCAAAAGCTTATGACATTCCTAACATTACGTCGCTATGTGTCCTTATTTACTAACCTCGTATCTTTCCGTATTTCATGGTTGTAATTTATGCGAGGACATCGTCGCTTTTATTTCGTTACTATGCTTGCATGTTTCCCCATATTTCAATATTATTGCTTATTTATTTTTCATTGCATTATTTACCGTAAATTCCCCTCCGAAGGATAGGTCTAGCCATTTGATCGCCGCGTCAATATTCCTTACCCTTGACCCTTTCATCTTTCAAACCCTAATTGCATAGGCGTCCCGCCGCGGACGAGTTTACCCTTTACCCTAACATTAGGATAAGGAGTCGCCGCACTCCATATTAGGTTTCCGGCCGTGGAATACTTATTTTACCCTTTTTAATTTAATTCAATTACAACGTAGAAATAGGAGTCGCCGTACTTCACGCAAGCGCTTCCTTAAGAACGTTTGCATCCCATTGAAACCTTGACCACCATCAAGAAGTTTCTCTTCCTCCCTTTCGAGGGGAACTACGATTACTCTGATTCCATCCCCTACCCAGGATACTTAGACACAAGATGCGAGTCTTGGCGAGTAAACTTAGGACTAACCCTTAGGTCTTTTTCTTTAACCTTTAACCCTTAGCATATACCCTTAAGTAGATAATTATAGCAAAATAGCCTTTAAAAACAAGAGGTTCCTGTAGAGTACTACAGAAGTTTAGGGTGCTAATACCTTCCATAAGCTTAATCAACCCCTGAATCCTAGATCTCTCTCCGCATTGTGTTTACGATGCAAAATAGTTTTTTCCTTTCTTTAACATTTCCTTCGGATAAATCAAAGACCGGTTGTGAATCAAAGATTTGTGATTCAAATTAATTAATAATTTGATATCCTATTCTCACCGCAACACACATAACTCGGAGGTGTTTTTGAGTTAAACAATATTGAGTGTGTCCTACTAGCAGAAGTCTTTGTTCTTTTCCAAGAATTTTCAGTCGATGCTCCCATCCATTTAGGTTCTCTTTTAACAATCGCCGCACATACTCAAGATTGAATGATGTACCTTCATCCTGAGCTAAAAAGTCATGTGCAACGGCCAAGATGTCTTTCTTCGTTGTCCCACTTTTCTTTCCATTAATAGCTTCTTTGTAACACCCAACACATTTTTGAACCAAGTCATTTATTCGATCTCATCGACATTTTAGTTGCCCACGTAACTTTTCTCGCGACTGCCCACGATATTGGTTATAATTGGCGGCGATTCTTAACCAAAAAATTTCAACTTTTTGACCAACTCGCACAATTGGATCCTTTGAAACATTGAGCCATGATTGCATTAAATATGTATCCTCATCCCTTGTAAATAGCTCTTGAGATTATTTTAACGGCACACCTTTATTCTTTTTCAATACCAACTTGAGGTGAAAATGATGGAACTTAACATTCAAACATACAACCAATCAGTGTTTTCGGTTCATGACGAAAAAATTCTATACCATGAGTATTTATTTGAGGTCTATGATATATAGTTGGATTGTTTTATGACAGAAAAATGCGGCGGAGTTGGCATCGATGAGAATTGAGAATTTCGAAGATTAGAGTTTTGATAATTTTGTATGAATTGAACATAGACTGTTGAAAGTTATATTGATTAGGATCCATATGATCTAAATAATATTAATTTTGAAGATGAAAATTTGGGTAAAATATATTGTCAAATAAAAGTTAATGAGAAGAAATTGTAAGAGAAAATTTTAAAAATTAAGAGTAAAGTGATGAAATTGTGAGAGAATAATTGAAAATTTAAGAGAAAAATTGTGTGGAAATTTTCTTTTAAATATTGTCATTTATAATCAACAAAAATGTTATTAAAAAAAAAAAAAAAGAACTATCAATAGCTGAAGAGCTATTTTTCAATTTTATTATTATTTTCTTCAAAAGACCATTGAAGTGCAATGTTACGATTGGCCAACATGGCCAACTCCAATCAATCTTACATGGTAATATGAATATCCTTAATTATTTATCCGTATAACTATTCAAAATAATGATAATGTTAATTTTTGTTTTAGAATTACATATAAAAGAATTTATAAATATTTTTTTTTATCTAATATAGAAATTTTTTTTAAAGTTAGCCTTGTAAACTTTTTTTTGGTAATATTTTAATCCTTAAGTTAACTAACGTTTGCAGGGTTAACTTTTTAAGATTTTTCATTTTAAGAAAATCAATGTGGCACAGACACTGATGAAGTGGCAGTTAAAGTTGATGAAGTGTCATAGAGGGGTTGCTGATGAAGTGTCATAGAGGGTTGCTGATGTGGAATCTCTTTCGTTCTTTCCTAGTTTTCTGAAAATGAAATCCCTAAATCCCGAATCCCAAATGACATACTTTGAACCCTAAATCTCATTACTCTATCAATGGCGTCTAATGGCGTCGTATGAGGACAAAATCGAAGATGTTCGAACCCTAATACATTCATATCGAGTGCATCCCAAGCTGGAATGGACAAAATCGAAGATGTTCGAACCCTAATACATTCATATCAAGAAAGAAAGAAATTTGTGGATGCAGATACTTTGTGGTACGTTTGTTATTAAACATTGTTGGTTGTAGATTTGGTTTTTGCATATGTAATTAGTTTTTGTTTTTTTGTGTGTTAATGTTAACAGAGTGAAGATGAAAATGTCCATTGCAAGTTTTTTGTGTGGTATGAAAACCATTACAGTGATGAAATCAAACAAGAGACACAATCCTCACTAGTTTTGAAATGTTCTGACTGTGATGACAACGATGTTGAAATCAAGTTGTTTAGAAGTTTAATCCACATCAGCAACCCTCCATGACACTTCACCAACGTTACCTGTCACTTTATCACCGTCTGTGTCTGCAATCGTTATTTAACTTATTTAACTTAAAGGATTAAAGTGTTGCAAAAAAAAAACTTACAGGACTAATTTTTTACTTTAAAATAACTTGACAGTATTTTTGTGTTAATTTTATTAATTTTTTCAATTTAAAATTTTTATTTGAGTTTTGATTCGAACTTTCACCATTTGTGTAGTTTTACCACTGATGGAAAGCCCCCATAGTTAAATCCATCTGGGAGCCTTTGTGAAATCTATGGTGTTGATGGTTGCCCAGTTGTCCCATTCTTTAAGAATTAGCCAAGAGTTTCTAACACCCAAAGGCTGCCCTTAAGAATTCTCTTCTAATCATCTTCATTAGCCATAGAAATGTTAAACAATCTTGTATCAAACTCTTTTACCATAAGTCCGATTGTATGGAGCTTTTATGTATAGGTTGTTCAGTAATCAGTTTTCCCAACAGTATTTTTTAGTGTTTCTGTTTGTTCTTGGATTTCCTCATGTCTTCGGATAATAGCAAATCAAGTTCTAGGACAGGTTTTGGTGTTTCTGGTTTCTTGATTTTCGGTGTATACCATTGGAAGAGCTAACTGAGGTAGTTGCACGTTGTGCCTAGAGTTATCAAACAGAAGGAGTGCAGAAAAACATGTGATGATTTTCGGTGTATACCATTGGAAGAGCTAACTGAGGTACTTGCACGTTGTGCCTAGAGTTATCAAACAGAAGGAGTGCAGAAAAACATGTGAGCAAAGAGCAGAGAAGCCGTGAGTTAACAGATTGAGAGTCTACAAATTAGTAAAATCTTCTTGTACTTGACCATTTTCTTAGCGCATTCTTGGAGCCTTTGGATTAGATGACTAAGGATTGAGCTAGTACGAAGCGTTACTTTGGATGAAAAGGGAGTTAGACTTCCTCACCAAGTAACTTACATGTGACTATACAAAATTTAAATAAGTAAATAGATTAATACAATGTAATACAAAAGAAGAATTTTCAGGAATTGGAAATGAGAAAACATATGCTCTATATAGTTATTGATATCATAAATCCTCTAAGAATGTGGCAAAGGAAACTGATTACAAAATCTTAATGTCATTGGTAAAGAAAAATAGATAGTTTTTCTAATAGATAGCATATAGTATAATTGATTCTATTATAGCAGAAAAATATATTCACAGGAAAAGAAACGTAGTAGAAACATTCACCAATCTGTTACAAAAGAATGAAGCAAAAGTATGAAACACAAAATGAATTTTTAACAAATGATCTAGTATGGTCTTTTGTATATTCATTATAATCCATGTGAAGCAATAACAGTCGTCATTAAATATCAAAATATTTTGAAAATTAATGAATATGAGAAACTCATTCATTTGAGAACAGTGTTATTAGTAAAGCACGTGGCATAAGAAAAATAGACTTGATCATGGTGTTACATAAGTATGAAGCTAAATAAAAGGCAACATTGGCCATGAAATACACACAAAATTTCTTTCAGATTTGGAAAAAATGATGACACCTCAACGACCACTTTTGAATAGGAGTTTGAGAGTATTTCCACAGCAGCAATTTTTTGCAAAAATAATGAAAGTATTGTATAGCTTGCATGCATAAGAGGGTCACACCAATCATATGAATGAACATAATATAATATGCAACTTGAATCAATTGACTTGGAGAGAAATTCAAAATCGCGCAATTTCTAATGATCTCACTTGTGCGCCTGTGGGTTGACTATCTATCGATATGCAACCAAATTTTGTTAAGTATATTGTCATCTAAGCCAGTAGCTTTATATAAAAATTTCTAATCATAATACTAGAACAAAAGAATGGCAAAACAAACATATTTCATCAAAATTTATACATTGATGCACACTGATGCCATTCATTTCCAATAAAAAAAATAGAAGAAAAGAGATCTACACTTAAAATAATCACTTTAAAAACAAGTCAAATTAAATTTAAAAACAAAAAGTCAGAACAAATTTTGTTCCTGTTTCACAAAGGAAGAAAGCTCAAGAACTAACCAACTTACAGAAAAAGAAAAAAAGACTCAGTTTTACAGCAGAGAGCTGTTATCTGAGAATTGAACACGCATAGAAAATTGTGAGTTACCATTGCTTGGTGTACTCACTAGTATTTGATTTTGTAAAATCAGTACTTGCAAGACTAGATAAATCCACAGCTGGCCAAATAAAAGACGGTTTAAAAGGTGGCACATTAGGCACATTCACTGACCCAGATAAAATCTGAACTATTGTTTGCAAATTTGGTCTCTCACCAGCAACAGGATGAGAACAAATCAATCCCAGTTTCAATATCCTCTCTGCCTCTTCAACATCATAATCACTACCAACACTTTGATCAACCGCTTCCAATATTCGTCCTTCGCGATGCAAATACCAAACCCAATCAACCAGAAACTGATACCCTTTTATTTTAGTACAAGAAGGTCTTTGACCACACACAGTTTCAAGTAACACTGCACCGAATCCGTAGACATCGGACTCTCTTGTTGCTTTTCCTGTGTGGAAACATTCTGGTGCTATGTATCCCATTGTTCCTTGTACACCTTCTAGTTCTGCATAGGATGTTTTTTCGTTTTCAAGTGCACGCGCTAGGCCGAAATCGCCTAATCGTGCGTTGTAGTCTGAGTCTAGCATTATGTTGCTTGCTTTGAGGTCTCTGTGGACTACTGTCTGATCGTATTCGTTGTGAAGGTAATTCAACGCAGAAGCGACACCGGAGAGGATTTTGTACCTGAGGTGCCAACTTAGTAGGGTTGTACTTGTTCCTTCTTCACAAAATATGTGACTGTCTAAACTTCCTTTCGGCATGTAATCGTAAACCAAGAGTAATACTTCATTTTTGTGGCACCATCCTGCATATTATTTCCAAAATTTATTCATGTTAAAGATAACTTTTATTAAACAAACCAAATCAAGTCACTTTTTTTTATCAATTAGCCTAGTGGCTGAAATTCACCCTTTAAAGGTGAACAAGGGAGATGTCACGGATTCGAACCCGCGCCCCTATATCTGATGTCCTTGCACAACTGTTAACTGAGCTGGCTTAACGGGACAAATCATTTGTTTTTAAAATAGACTAGTTGGCAATGCTTAGAAATTGCCAAAAGCTGAATTGGTATACATAATAAGAGAAGACTTTGGGAAACACTGGCCAGCTGAACGGCTTGTTTTTCACTGGACCCTCAATTATTTATACAAGATAATAACCAAGTTTACAATGTGTCTTAGTAAAAAAAAAGTTGAAAAATGTAGTTCAATAAAAAAAAGTTGACAATGCAGCTGAGTCGAGAAAAATAAATACAGTTGACAATGTAATAGTAACCGGTAATGTTATGTTTTTTTATGTTGACAAAATCTGGTAATGTTACATTGGAAATTCAGATTGAAAATAATATTATTATGCTTGAAATTTCAATTTTGCGTTGATCTAGTATAAGGGTGATGATGAAGGAAGGTTCAATGAAATAAAGGTTAGTGTAAGATAAACAACAATGACTACACGAACAAAAGAACGAAAAAGCACTCTCTATATTATTGGGACACTTAGCAGCAATCAATAATTGACTATACGGACTAAGAACAAAATGTCACTTTCAAAACAAATCAAAACCAGAAAGAAAAACAAAATTCCAGCTAATTAAGGTACAGTACCTATCTAGATCCCAGTATGTTTTATTTTAGCTTATCAAAAAAATGCCTTCTCTCTTTTAAAAGACCAGGACACACATCACCAACAACCTTCACCAAATAATAGCTGGTCAATTATTAGCATATATTCGATATGGTTTCAAACATTCCTAAACGATTATTCCAGATCTAAAATCTATGTTCATTATTAATTAATTTTCCTAACAAAAACAAAAGAACTGAAATAAATAAAATTAAATGATAAACGGAACTAACCTTGTAATTTAACAAGATGTTTATGACGAAGCCGATTGATGATAGTAAGTTCAGCCAAGAAATCATCAGTACTTTTCATTTTATCTCTAGAAAACATCTTAACAGCAACCTCCAAATTATCCTTAGGTAATGTTCCTCTATAAACAATTCCGTATCCACCTTGTCCAAGTTTATTCTTCTCATCAAAATTATTCGTAGCTTTCTTCAGTTCCTGATAACTAAACTCTCTTGGTGTTCCTGGTAAACTCTTCAATGTTCCCATTATCTGAGAATTTGAATTATATTCATCACTTTTCTTTTTCTTACATGTATAATAATACAAAAACCCAGCACTGGCTAAAATCAAAACCAAAACAGGAACACCAAAACTTAAACCAATCCTTAACGCGTTTGTTTCATCAAAAACCTCAATTGAAATGTTCCATCTAAGTACACAGTGTAGTTCAGCAAAGTTTCCCGTTGAAGCAGAAAACCCTAAATAAGAGTGCTGATTCAGAACCTTTTTTAGATCAAGACCGGAAGTTAAAACGGGTTTAACCGGCTTTTCCACTATAGGTTTATCCTGTGAAGGTTGCGCAGCCATGTAAACTTCAATATTTTTCCGGTCACCGTCATATTCAACCCATAAAACGTAAAACTGAGTGTCGTTTGGAGCGATTTTAAAATCGAGTGGAACTGTAACGTTGGAATGAACGCTGTTTATGTCAAGTCCCATATGATTGTTGTTACTGTCGAAGTCTTGTTTAACGGTGTCAAGTTCAACAGCGACGAAGTGGTTGGTGGTATTACCGTCAGTGGAGGCGTTTGTTAAACCGAGATAACCGCCGAAGCTGTTGAGAGGGATCGAGAGTGAAGGTGCGATGAGGAAAGCGAAACCTTCTCCGGGAGTTTCGTCGCGGTAGGGGAAGACGTTGATGAGGAAAGAGGTGTTGAAGGAAATGAGTTTTCCGGTGGGGGAGGAGTCCTCCCAGAATTTAAAGGAGTCTTTGAAAAATATTCTGCCGGAGTTGTTATACATGGGGACAATAGACGAACTTCCGGCGCTGTCCGGCGTGATCTGGATGGCGTTGAGGTGGATGGATGCGGAGCTTAAAGTTTTGAAAAGGTGTTTGTTGGTTTCGTTGAAGGGTCCGTAGGAGTGAATTTCTCGTTTGAGGATTTGAGACTGAGCTTGGGTGGGGATTTGAGCTTGGGAGGTTAATGACAGGAAGAGGAGAAGAATGCCGATGAGGGCGGTGAGGAAAGCTGTGTGGTGGTGGTTGTGGCGACACTGAATCGAAAGCATCTTGTGATTGTGTTGTTTGAATTGAATGTTGGTGGTGATGTTAATTATGGAGAGTTCTTATAATGATTAATTAACTTTTTTTGATAAAAAGCAAATTTTGAAGGTGATTTTAATAACTACAACTTGCAACTGGCTTGGCTTTGTTTTGTTTTCTACAGAGTTTCCATGTTAGAAATTGGTGTTTTTGTGTATTGAAGAATATTATTTTAAGAGGATAGTAGAAATTGGTGAACAAAAATGTTACCAATATGAGAACCAAGCAAGTGAGAATCAAAGATATCACTCACCATCAACACTAGGGAACAAACAAGAACACTGGCAACACAAGGGCAAATCACCAAAATGACCAACAACGAATTCTACCATAACATGATTCATCAAGTTCATTTCAACAAAGACAAAGACATCGAAGAAATCCTAAACAAAATCAATATGATCAGGGATAATCAGAGAATAGATAGACCTGACGGAAGTGTGAACAGTGGAGAGGATGTCACCACAAAGAGTCAGAGTCCTCATTGTGAAAACTTGCAGATCAAAATGAAAGAGAAGATCAAAGATAACGTCAACATTGGAGAGCATGTTAATGATAAAAGAGAAGAGCAAAAGAAAACTGCACCTGCTATAAGGTGATTAACACGCAGTCCGTTTCTCCCAGAACTCGGAGCAACAATCAGGAAGAGAGGAACAAACCCCCAAACGACATCTCCAAAAGAAAAGGCAATGAAAAGATGGGAGATTCCAACAATGCTAACTGGTACTCTACCAAGAATTAGCGTGTATGATTGAGGAGGAAGAAAACCCTAGAATGGCGTGGTGGCATGGTAGGCAAAACAATCGAGAAGAAGATGAAGACCTAGGGTTTCTCGTGTGGGGGTGCAAATTTGTAATTTTCCTTTTATCAAAACAATCATATTCGTATAATTAAATTTTACTAATTTTTTTTTTTTATGCATACCTATGGAACTACTCTAGAATTTCTAATCATGTTCTAAAACGAAAAATGCCAACAAAAATATTTCATCAAAATTTATACATTGATGCACACTGATTCCATTCCTTTCCAATAAAAAATAGAAGAAAAGAGAATCTACACTTTAAAAACAAGTAAAATTAAATTAAAAAACAAAATGAGAATAAAAAGTCAGAACAAATTTTCTTCCTGTTCCACAAAGGAAGAAAATTCAAGAACTAACCAACTTACAGAAAAAGAAAAAAAAAACTCAGTTCTACACCAGAGAGCTGTTATCTGAGAATGGGACATGCATTGAAGATGAGTTACCATTGATTGGTGTATACTCACTAGTATTTGTATTTGTAAAATCAGTACTTGCAAGACTAGATAAATCCACAGCAGGCCACATAAAAGACGGTTTAAAAGGTGGCACATGAGGCACATTCACTGACCCAGATAAAATCTGAACTATTGTTTGCAAATTTGGTCTCTCACCAGCAATAGGATGAGAACAAATCAATCCCAGTTTCAATATCCTCTCTGCCTCTTCCGCATCATAATCACTACCAACACTTTGATCAACTGCTTCCAATATTCTTCCTTCGCGATGCAAATGCCAAACCCAATCAACCAGAAATTGATACCCTTCGATTTTAGTCCAAGAAGGTCTTTGACCACACACAGTTTCAAGTAACACTGCACCGAATCCGTAGACATCGGACTCTCTTGTTGCTTTTCCTGTGTGGAAACATTCTGGTGCTATGTATCCCATTGTTCCTTGTACACCTTCTAGTTCTGCATAGGATGTTTTTTCGTTTTCAAGTGCACGCGCTAGGCCGAAATCGCCTAATCGTGCGTTGTAGTCTGAGTCTAGCATTATGTTGCTTGCTTTGAGGTCTCTGTGGACTACTGTCTGATCGTATTCGTTGTGAAGGTAATTCAACGCAGAAGCGACACCGGAGAGGATTTTGTACCTGAGGTGCCAACTTAATGGGGTTGTACTTGTTCCTTCTTCACAAAATATGTGACTGTCTAAACTTCCTTTCGGCATGTAATCGTAAACCAAGAGTAATACTCCATTTTTGTGGCACCATCCTGCATGTTATTTTCAAAATTTATTCATGTTAAGGATAATTTTATTAAATAAACCCAATCAAGTCAATTTTTTAATCATTTTTAAAGGTGAATAGGAAGCGTGTCACAGATTTGAACCCGCGCCCTATATCTATATATAATGTCTATCCACAACTATTAAATGAGGTGACTTAAGAAATCATATCATATGTTTTCAAAATAGACTAGTTGGCAATACTTAGAAGTTACCAAAAGCTGAATTGGTATTACATGATAAAAGAAGACTTTGGAAAACACTGGCCGGCTGAACGGCCTGTTTTTCACTGGATCCTTAATTATTTATATAGGATAATAACTAAGTTTACAATGTGACTTAGTAAATTTAAAAAAAAAAAAAAAAAAGAAGTTTAATGGATTATAATTTAAAAATTATCATATATTCAAGTTTCAAACATTCCTAAACGATTTTTCACTGGGTAATACTTAAGGGCATAATTCTATCACAGTATGTCATACTATTAATTTAAAAATTATAATTTAACGTGACGGAATATATAACGAGAATGGGTTGATCGTGCATATCCTATTTTCTAAAAAAAAAAAAGTTGACAAACGTAGTTGAATAATAAAAAAGTTGACAAATGTAGTTGAATAAAAAAAAGTTGACAATGCTGCTGAGTCAAGAAAAATAAATAGTTGACGATGTATAAGGAACTGATAATGTTATGTTTTTTTATGTTGACAATATCTTACATTGAAAATTCAGATTGAAAAGAATAATTTTATGCTTGAAATTTCAATTTCGCGTGGATATAGTATAAGGGTGATGATGAAGAAGGGTTCAATGAAATGAAGGTTAGTGTAAGATAAACATTGATGACTACACGTCTACACGAACAAAAGAACGTAAAAGCACTCTATTGGGACATTCGGCAGCAATTAATAATTGACTATACGATTACGAACATGAGAATAAAATGTCACTTTCAAAACAAATCAAAACCAAAAAGAAAAACAAAATTCCAGCTAATTAAGGTACAGTCCTAGCTATATCCCAATATGTTATAATTTAGATTATCACAAAAATGCCTTTTCTCTTTTAAAAGACCAGGACACACATCATCAACAACCTTCACCAAATAATAGCTGGTCAATAATTATCATATATTCAAGTTTCAAACATTCCTAAACGATTATTCCAGATCTAAAATCTATGTTCACTAATTATATTAAATAAATTAAATGTAAAATGAAACTAACCTTGTAATTTAACAAGATGTTTATGACGAAGCCGATTGATGATAGTAAGTTCAGCCAAGAAATCATCAGTACTTTTCATTTTATCTCTAGAAAACATCTTAACAGCAACCTCCAAATTATCCTTAGGTAATGTTCCTCTATAAACGACACCGTATCCACCTTGTCCAAGTTTATTCTTCTCATCAAAATTATTCGTAGCTTTCTTCAGTTCCTGATAACTAAACTCTCTTGGTGTTCCTGGTAAACTCTTCAACGTTCCCATTATCTGAGAATTTGAACCGTTTTCATCATTTTTCTTTTTCTTACTCATATAATAATACCAAAATCCACCACCAAGTAAAATCAAAACCAAAACAGGAACACCAACACCTAAACCAATCCTTAACGCTTTGTCTTTTTTTTCATCAAAAACCTCAATTGAAATATTCCATCTAAGCACACAGTTCAGTTCAGCAAAGTTTCCCGTTGAAGCAGAAAACCCAAAATAAGAGTCCTGATTCAGAACCTGTTTTAGATCAAGACCGGAAGTTAAAACCGGTTTAACCGGTTTTTCGACTACAGGTGCATCTTTTGAAGGTTGCTCCGCCATGTAGACATCAATGTTTTTCCGGTTACCGTCGTATTCAACCCATAAAGCGAATATCTTAGCAACTTTCGGAGCGATTTCGAAACCGAGAGGAACTGTAACGTTGGAACGAACGCTGTTTATGTCGAGTCCCATGTGGTTGTTATCAGGGTCGAAGTCTTGTTTAACGGTGTCAAGTTCAACGGCGACGAAACGGTTGGTGGAATTACCGTCGGTGGAGGCGTTTGTTAAACCGAGATATCCGCCGGAGCTGTTGAGAGGGAAGGAGATTGAAGGTGCGATGAGGAAAGCGAGACCTTCACCGGGAGTTCCGTTCATGTAAGGTAACATGTTGATAACGAAAGAGGTGTTGAAGGAAACGAGTTTTCCGGTGGTGGAGGAATCTTCCCAGAGTTTGAAGGGGTCTTTGAAAAAGACTCTGCCGAAGTTGTTAAACATGGAGACGATCGTTGTACTTCCGGCGCTGTCCGGCGTGACCTGGAAGGCGTCGAGGTGGATGGTTGCGGAGGATAAAGTTTCGAAAAAGTGTTCGTTGCTGGCATTGAAAGGTCCCCAAGAGTAAAATTTTCGTTTGAGGATTTGAGCTTGGGAGGTTCCTTCCGGGAGGAGGAGAAGAATGCCGATGAGGGCGGTGAGGTAAGCCGTGTGGTGGTGGTGATGGCGGCGGTGACACTGAATCGGAAGCATCTTGTGTGATTGTGTTGTTTGAATGGAATGGAATGGTGGTGATGTTAATTATGGAGAGTTATTATAATGATTACTTAACTTTTTTGATAAAAAGCAAATTCTGAAGGTGATTTTAATATGTTCAACTTGCTTTGGTTTGGCTATGTTTTTGTTCTCTACGAAGTTTCCATGTTTGAAATTGGTGTTTTTGTCTATTGAAAAATATTATTTTAATGGGATAATAGAGATAGACATGTGCATGGAAAGGAGAATTAAGAAATGAAATATGGTAAATTATATGGAAAATGCTTTTTAAGACTTTTAATAGACATTAAGAACTTTGCCATAGAAACAAATAGATAAAGAAGGAAATAAAAATAATAAAAGAAAAGCAATACTATTGATGTGATAAAATAATGATATGATAAAATGATTAAAAGGGAAAGAGATGTTGAATGA